CGGTATCAGCGTATCCAAAGATTTCCCGATCTGGTTGACTGTAGTAGGATTTTAGAGGAGGATCTTGCTAGCACTAAGTCGAATGCTCGAGGGTATGTTGATAGGAAGGGTAAGCAACAGATGGATCGTGGTAAGCCTTATGATAGAAGTAATCAGAGACCCGGTGGTTGGAAGAAGTTTGGTGGAGGAGATTCTAATTCTTCCGTTAAGTGCTACAAGTGTGGTGAGACAGGACATCGTATGGTGGATTTCAAAAGTAATGATAAGAAGTGTTTCAAGTGTGGGAAACTCGGCCATGTGGCCAATGATTGCAGAGTAAGAGTGGTGACTTGTTACAACTGTGGTGAAGAAGGTCATACTCGTCCTCAGTGTACAAAACCCAAGAAGGAGCAAGCTGGTGGTAAAGTGTTTGCATTGTCTGGGTCAGAGACTAAGCCAGATGATCGGCTGATTAAAGGTACATGTTTTATTAATGACATACCTTTGATTGCGATTATTGATACTGGAGCTACGCATTCTTTTATTGCTTTGGATTGTGCTAAAATATTGAATTTGGAAATTTCTAATATGGATGGAAGTATGGTTATTGATACTTATGCGTCGGGTTCAGTGACTACTTCGTATGTTTGTAGGAATTGTCCTATTGTGATTTTTGGTAGGGGTTTCGGTATGGATTTGGTGTGCCTACCGTTAGAACAACTTGATATCATCCTTGGAATGAACTGGTTGGAATTCAACCAGGTTCATATCAACTGTTTTGTGAAGACGATTATTTTCCCTCGATGACGCTATCTATGTTGCCTTTCAAATGATCTTAGTCCCTAAAGAGAATGCTAATATACCTTGCAACATTGCTAATCATGGTTATACGATGACCCACGCCCGTCCCGTTTACATCTAAATATAGGGTTACTTACCAAATCAATGGTAAGATAACAATGTCAAAGGAAAAGAAAATGAACAAGAAAGACTTTTGAGTAGGTAGAATGCTTCTACAAACGCAAAATCTTCAAGTCAGTTCTCCCACAGTATCACATATGTGATTTTGGAAATGCAACGACCTTATGTCGATGTTTTTGGCTTAAAATAGTGTAAATTTGAAAGTTAAGTTTTTAGGAGATTTAACTTAAGATTAATAAAACTAAAAAAATGTATGAAGGGGGTTTCGCACATCGTATTAGATATATTCGATGACATGAAGTCAACAAATTTAATTCTTTCTCTTGGAGTAGACAAACGAAAATATAAAGACTAAATGATCAAAAAGGAAATTAACTAGAATAGCAATTAAATAATTAAATAATTAACAATTAAAAATTAATTAAAATAAAGAGACTAAATTATACCAATATACCTTTTTTGGTATTTTTATCATGGTAGGAAAGAAATAATTACAAAACATAATCTAGTATTTTTTGTACTCTTTTATTTTATGAAATTTGGTGAAATAAGACTAAAAAGACTTAAAATCTTAAAAAAGATAAGGGCCATGGATCGAACTTAGGTTCCCTAGGTTACAACGAGTCTACCTTGCCACTAAACCAATGTTGCCTTGATTTTATGGATACTCTTCAAATGGTATAAAGCAAGAAGTATGATCGGATTGGGCTTTAAAGCTTAAGCCCAAACTCAGACCCATCAAGAAAGTAAAGGGTTTTCGAAACCCTAAATGTACAAGGTAAGAGGCACCGCTGGTGAACCTTGGGGAAAGGAAAAATTTAATTAATTTTTTTAATTATTAATTAAGTATTAGTAAACTCATTAAACAAGGTTAACAGAAAACAAAGAGTCATCTCTCTCAGTCAACTCTTCCCTGTGAGTTTCCAACCTAATTCGATTCCTCTCTAATTTGATTCCTCTCTTGCTTCAAAGTCATCAACTTTCTTCCTTGATTATCAATCTCAACCAGAAGAAACAAAAACCGGAGACAACAAACACATTGCATCACATCAATAAGAACACACAAAATTCCGAGCTCGACGGAGACACAATTTTCTCCAGATATACTCAAGTACAATACTTTGAGGTCTTTTATCTTCTTTCTGCTTCCGTCTGAAACTGCTTCATATTATTGTCGTTGTGGGTGTGTGATTTTGTGTTGTCTATGTTGTTGTGGTGAATAGTGTCTCGTGTGTGCATAACATCGCGTGAGGTCTAGTGTGCTTAATGCCTGAGAGCTTGTTGGTGCTTTGAGTTTACATGTATGTATCAGTATTTGAATGTTTTAGAGTGTATGAATGGAACACAGTTACGAACAGAAATAAATGATGGTTGATGATGGTTTTAGTTATTGATAAATGAGGTCAAGGAAGAAAATGAGGCTTAGGGTTGAAGGAGTATTGCTGCAGAGGTTAAGGTGTGTGTGTATTGTTGGTGTATTGAACAAATTTATGCTCATGGAAATATATGATTTTCTAACTATGTTTTTTCTTAACATTTTTTTAATGATTTCTGTTAATTACAGTAGGCTTTGGAATGTAACAGAAAAGTTTTCAACAAATATGACAGTTATGTGAAACAAAGCAAGTGATTTAAGAAAATTATTTGTGTAACTGGTGATACAGTGCAAGTAGATCAAACATATATGTAATGGGAAAAGAGATTATGCAAAAATAAACGGGAAGAAAATGATACATATCAGAGTCTCTCTGATGGAGCTTCAAGAGACAGTAAGTTCACACTCCTTCTTCTGTTGTTGCTTCTGTTTCTCTTTCTCTCTATTTCTTAATATTTTTGTTCTGATTCCTTTCCCCCTTTTTTCTGATCTAAAGCTCTTCTTTATAGATGAAAGAAACTAGAATTTGGGAGGGAACATTTCATAGGTTTGAACAAAATAGGCTACTGATGTTATGCTTTTCAGATGCAGGTTTGTTTTTGTTATTTTTGTGCAAGTCTTTGGACAGCAAGAGCAGATCAGCAGCAAGTTTTTAGACTGGTGTTGGCAGTATGGTATAGCAAGGCAGCAATGCAAGTTTTGGAGTGTATTGTTTGTCTTATGGCTGCAAGAATTATAGACAAGGAAAGGTTAGCATAGCAAGTGTTGGATTGACCTTTTTACATCATTTTTGACTGGTTGGACAACATTTTGGAGGCTTGTGGACTGGTTTTGCAAAGATTCTAGTTAGGACTTTTTAAGGTTTAAGATACAATCTTTTATAATTCAAATTGAGTTCTAATGTAAACTTGAAACCTTAAAGTAATGTAACACTTTTGAGCATTCTTAAATTTATTTGAGGAACTTGTATCTTGAAGTTGAATCAAATTTGAATGAAATAAGACCTTGACATTTGAATTTTTGGACATTGTTGTAAAAGTTGAATTATGATGAATGTATTAAGTTTCAAGTGACACAAACCTTCCCATTTTACAAAGTTGAATTGTACATTTTATTTTTGGTACTTGAATTCAAAACAATCCACATAAATGGAATTGAGTGAGTTAAACTTGAATGCTTTGTTACTTAAATCTCAAGAAATCTAAATGTCTTTTCCTTTCCAACCTTGCAAGTTTGATGAATGAGTTTAAATCCAATCATAAGAACCAATGTTTTGAGGAAACAATCATGACACAAATTGAAACTAGAGGTTAAAAATCATCCTAAGTTACGAAATGGTCCAAAATGTCTTAATAAATTCCGTGGCCTCCTAAGCATAACTGGACTTTGATTCTTAAAGAAGACTTTTAGATGACATTCCTCATGACATTGTGCAAAAAGAATCGTCTCAAGATGTTAAAAATTGAGGAAGTTACGACCCTCGCAAGTTGGACATGAGTTTCTTGAAATTAGGTCAAACTTGCAAAATGACCTCTAAAATATTCGAATTTTTTATGATCCTCCGTATATAATCAGCTATTGACTTGTAAAGAGAAGTTGGAGATGATGTCAAAGAGAGTCATGCACAAAAAGAACCACTCAAAAATATTGAATAATGTAAAAGTTATGATCGTTTGAACTTGATCTTGAAAATGTTGACTTTTGGTCAAAGTGCTTTGAATCGACTTGCAAATTTGATCATTCCTCGCATTCCCAAACACATTGATGCACACGTGAATCAGTGATGATGAAATCTTAACTATGCTCTTGAGATTATAGGCCAAAATTTGATGAAGTAGCCTTTTAGAATTGGTGATTCACCATACTTGAACACTTGAGGGATCCAAAACCCTAATTGAGGCGCAACACCTGACGCTCTTGATTCATACATGTCTCTGCACATGAAACAAAAGAAACACAAATATACACCTTTGTATGGGATTAGAAGTTAGTGATACATAAAATAAAATGTTCACAACAATTGGTAATCTCTGCATAAGCAGTGCTCGAAGGTGAGCGGATTAAAGACCAATTGTATCTCGTGACCTTGATGCAAATGAAGGTGGGATCTTAGGTCAAATTTTTGGGTATGACAATCTCTCATTATTAGATCTAATTAGAAAGCAACACATACAAAATGCCGAATCACACACAAACAATTCTAACCGTCCATACTATATAATGGACACTTCACATCATTACAAATATTCAATTCGTTCTACTACTTTTTACTTAACAACTAACTTAAACATTAAAGTGTTAACCTTGTAGGTCCAACTCTTTTTCACCCCATTAAAAACTTACTTCACAAATCAATTCTTTAATAAAACACATGACTATGTCATAATAGGACAAGCCGAAAAAGTAATTACTCCCTCCAACCGTCTAATAGAAGTGTTTTATTTACCCATTATTAGACGATGGCAATATTTAAAATATATATATTTTTAATTTTATGAAATGGAAAGAAAGGAAAAAAAACTATTTAGAATTAGAGACGGTGGAAGGATTTATTAAGCCCACGAAATCATAGTGTAATTAAAATTAGCGAAGAAAAGCCCCATTATATAAGCCATCTATCCATCTTTCATTCGTTATTCTAGTTTTCCGCTCACATCAGTCTCTCCTCCTTGATAAGGAAATTAGGGTTTTGAGGGGTCTCTCGTTTCGTCCTACCCGATCAGTCATGGGAGGAGGCAACGGCCAAAAGGCAAAGATGGCTCGGGAGAGGAACCTCGAGAAGCAGAAGGGCGGCAAGGGTAATCTCTCTCTCTCTCTCTCTCTCTCTCTCTCTCTCTCTCTCTCTCTCTCTCTCTCTCTCGGATGTTTCTAACATGAAATTTAGAAATTAGGGTTTGATGCTTTCGGTTTCCTTTGAAATTGTGATTAATCGTAGCTGATGTGTTAGATCTGATGGTAAACTTGTTGATTTGAACGATTTTTTGTATGTGCAGGGAGCCAACTTGAAACCAACAAGAAAGCCATGTCGATCCAGGTATAAATCTTGTCTTTATTCAATATTTCTGAGGTTTCTTTATAGATCTTGATTAAAAAAGAAGTTTGTTCTATTAATCTGCTGTGTGTGCCTTAAATTCTTTGTCTTGGTTTGATTTTTTTTTTTTGGTATCTGAAATTTAACTGTTAGCTTCACCAATTTATTTTGGGATACAATTGGGTTTCTCTGTTTTGTGCTCTGATCCCTTAATATTTGGGCTTAATATTTTTTATCATCTTTTTTATCATTTAGGATTCTCCTGTTTGTAACTATGGTTGTTAAATTCGAACTCTATTATAGAGAATGTAAACAGGAACATTAATAAATGGTGTAATTTCAAGATGAGGAAACTCTGATCATGCGATCAAAGAGGTGATTTTCAGTGGTTAAATATTTGGGGGAAAATTATTAATATCATTTTGATTCCATGGGTTTGTCATATGGGCACTTTCACTAAGGTCTTTCACTTGTGTGCATCACTTGCATAAATTCTTTATGTTTATGGAGTAGGGTTGGGAGAGAATATGTCAATAGAATTGTTTTATTTTAAACAAACTAGTTGGGAGAAAATGTTGGTCAAGCTTGGTCATTTGTTAACTTCTAGTTAAGTACTAAATTGAATATTATCTATCATAATGAATTTGGAACTAAAGTTTCTCGTCCCAAATCCTCTAATGGAACTTAACAATCTGGACTTTAAGAATAAGAAGCACATACATGTCAAATTGTGCTTTTTGTTATGGATGGAACTCTTTTTAAAGGAGTTTAGACTTCTTTGGTTGCAGTATTTTGGAATGTTTTCCGAAAATATAACTTCCTCGGTAAAATTTGTAAACCCAGTTCACATTGATGTCTTTCATCCTTACATTAGTATTCACTATTCTTTTTCCCAAACAGTCACATTGAACTTGTTCATTGTAACATACTCTTAAATGACAGGCTTTTTATTTGACATTGTATTTATTACTTTTTCTCAACCTAGTTGGTTTTGACAAGTTCTCTTTTGTGGTCTTCTTGTTTCTATTTATTCATTGTGTTTACTGTGTAGTGCATAGCACATATGTTACCATGTATTATCCTTTAGTATGTCTTATAAAAGGTGTGTAGTCAGAGATTATATACACTTCATAAATGCTCTTCCATCACAGAGCTGTCCAAATTTATACTCGTCTGTACTTCTCTATTATAGATGTTATAAAATGCATCATTTCCTTCATTGCATTGCTTTGCTTTAGTTTCTACATTTAATAGTGCCCTTCACTGATTATAATGTTGTGATTGATGATTGCAGTGCAAAGTGTGCATGCAAACATTTATCTGCACCACATCAGAAGTCAAGTGCAAGGAGCATGCTGAGGCGAGACACCCTAAATCTGATCTCTTCACATGTTTTCCTCATCTTAAACCCTGAACATTAGGGGATGGCATGTCGATACACTATATCATATTATATGAATTGTGACTTTAATATAAAAAATGCGTCTATGTTTGTCTTGGTGGCTAGTAAAAGACAAGGGATTTGTGTGTTTTTCCCTTGCGAAAGTGCAAGAAACTGTTGATTCTCTTTTGTCAAAGTGTAACTGTTTAATGGTCATTAGTGTTAATATTGTGTTAAAAAATTGTGGTATTAAATAAAGTGCTGGATTATATCAGTACCTAAATATAGCTTTGAATAATTCAGCACCAGGAATGCTTGATAGCTAAATCAACTGTGCAATAAATCTAAGTAAGGTAAGTTATTAGTTGGTGGTTGTTGAAATAGCGTTGTCTCGAGGACAATTTTAGAAATTTAGAAATAGCTTTCTCTAAGTGAGAGCTTGCTCATTCACTCATCTAAAATATATTTCTAAGTATAACATCTAATTGGTTGCACTTCAAATATTAATATGATTTCTACTAATCTAAATCCACTTCATTATATACTGTAGCTCCTTTTGCTTTTTTGTCTCAATGTGTTACATGTCTTTCATTGAATTAGAAGATGAATAAAAATAAATATTACTCCCTCTCACAATAAATGATTTTTACTCTTTTTAAGATAAAGATTAATTATGTTGAGTTTATTGATAAAATTAGTCTCATTTATTAAAGTAATTTTATTAATAGGTAGTGGAGTAGTTATATGAATTAAAATATAATAATTAAGGTTAAATTAGGGGAAAGAAATAATTAATATTGCATTGATATTTTAAAAAGACAAATAATTTGAGACAAATAAAAATAAGAAAGAAAATACTTGTTGTGAGACGGAGGTAGTAATGTTTTATTATAATTTGGCCGCTTATATAGTTGAGATCACGATGAAGAGACAGTCATAATGGTGGTGGTCTCGGTGTCTCATGTTGTAAAATTCAAAAACTCTAGTGAAGATAATCGGGAAAGATGACCGAAGAAAGAAGAAGATGATTGAGTTTTGTTTTAAATCTCTAGACCAATGAGATCATTTCATGTGAACACTTTTGATTTGTTCACCTTAAATCTGATCATGTGTTATTTTGAAACTAAATTCCACCATGAGTGTGCGCTTATGTGTCTTTGGATCTGTCACTTAAGTGATTCTTGATTTAACGTCTCATATTTTTTTAATTTGTTACTTTTAATTTATTTTAATCTTTAAAAATTTATATTAAATTTATTTTTATTTTAAAAAATCTCAAAATAATTTTAAAAGTTCTCCTTAATTTTTATTCATTTGATTCTTATTTTTTTTAGAATTTTACTTTTATTTTTATTATTTTTCATTAATTTTTTTATTATTTGCTTGATTTTAATTAGTTTAAAATTAGTTTTTTATTTTTAAAAGTTACCGAAAAAATTATAAAAATATTATAGATTATTTCTGATTTTTCTATAATTTTATTTTAAATTTATTTGATATTTTGAATATATTTTGGTATTTTACCTTTTATTTTTATTTAAAAATTAATTTAAAATATGTTTCCATACATTATATTAATGCTTATTGCATTTTTAATTTTGTTTGACTTTTGTTGACTGGTTGACCTTGGATCATAGTGAATTTGATCATGAGTTTCGTAAACATCATTGGATCTTAGGTGTTGATGGGGTGAAAATCCTAATCTAGCAAAATGAATTAATTATGTTGATGATAACTTGACAAATACTTTGATCCAATTTGGGATTTACATTCTTGTTCAAATTATCTCTACTTCATCTCTTTCTTCTTTTTTTCTTTTTTTTAATTGGATGATTGATGATTCATCTTGTTCAATTGAATTCAGATTGGTACTTGATGAACTTTTATCATTTCAAATCTGCTTCTAAGTGATAAATTGATCACTCAAGGTACTTTGGATTGGTGATAAGTTTGTCCTGGGGTATCATGAAGGATTTAATTATTGTAATGATCTTATCTCTTTGACTTAGTCTTGATCACCTTTGCTTTTAAACTATAGTGTGTATTATATGCAATACACCTATATTATTTTTGCCCGATCTCATATAGGTGCAACTTCTATATAAGTTCACTTACGGTTACTTAACATAACGCCAAATTGTTTCGAATCGGAAACTAATTACTAACACTAACTATTAAAATTATGGCATACACAATATAAATGTCAAGATTGGATCGTTCGGTGTTATAAAATATGATTAATACACATTAGTGACAATATAATTCTATTTTAAGTGGGTGTGCCCTGCTCGGGGAAACACTTCTCTCCAATTCTTTCTTTTCTCTTTGTCTGAAATAACTTAGCCGCCGCCTCTTCTTTTCTCCTCCAAAATCTAAACTTTTGGTCACCATGAAATTGAACCTTACTTATTTATTTATTTTCATTTTGAATGAAATCACATTGTATCAAAAATTAAAAGTTGAAAACTACGTACATAAGTTGGTTTAGATTTAATTTAGTCAAAATAAATATGATCCAATTCATACAGGATACACCCGTTTGGATGAAGTATAAAATAACTACCCACAATATCATTGATCAGTTTGGATAAAATACAAATTTATGGGTTGGATTGGGTTTAATAGTTGGTTACTCAGTTTTTCCTCTCTTCCATATATAATTATAGATGAACACCAAATGCAACCGACTATGTAGCTTCGGTCGTTCTCAGTTATGATATCCCGTGCCTCATCTGGTACTAGATGATTAACATAATAATCAAACAAGCATCCATCTCTCTATGTTTCACAGTGGGAGGAACAGACACAGAAGGATCTCTGAGAATATATTGCATGTAGGCCAACTAACGCATGGCGCGCTCGGGCAGATGAGGAGCCTCCAAACGTGGCCCGCAAGCCAAATGTTTCGAGTATAAGACAATGTCATCAAAGGAAATCATCTCACGGTGAACGACGTAACAATGAAAATGTATATCCTCAAATACTAAGTGGTCAATATACATTCTAAACAACTCGGTCGCCTGGTTCCCTCAAATGCCGCCTCAATTTCCTGGACTTGAGATTCCTCAAGTGCCTCTGGTGTCGCATGCGCATGTGATGCCTCTCTTACCTTAGGTACATGATTAGGTGAATTCATGCGTCTACGTGAAGATGGAGGTAAAGAGGCATGAGTAGGGGACCTTCACCTTCTACAAGAGGACGAATAAGAAGGAAGAGGTACAGGAGCCCTGAAATCGGACGCCTCCATACCAACATGTCTAGAGGTAGAATAAGTCTAAGATTGCAGACTTTTTCCCCTCTGAACGGATGCATGTTATGCAAGTTTGTCGTGTCTCAATCAGGATGTTCTTTCAGCCGTAATTCATGTAAAAATAGACAAGACAGTCGTTACATAACCAGTTCATTACAGAAAAAAGGTAAAAACAATGCGTAGACCACTTCCGGAGATGCATATCTGATTCTGGGTAAACGTTGAAACATTTTAGATATGTATCTCTAGAAACTCCTGCAACTCCAAACAACGTTAATGGAGGAATGCAAATCCATAAAACATAAAAAATAATTCATTGACCGTAAGAACTACCTAACTAAATTGTTCCTGATTAGTTCTAAGCAATCAAACACTAAAAATATTTCATTCTCATAACTAAAACTCAACTTCTACACAATTTTACATAAATTCAATAAACTTAAAAAAAATTACAATTTGTGCCTTCAAGTTGTTTTTTTGTCGCTCCATGTTGTTTGAAGCCAGATGTTTGATGAAGATTGATGCTTTTTGATGTTTCTTGGTGATCAACTATTTAGTGAGTGTAAAATATAACTGCAAGTGCACAACTTATCATATAGTTTTAAAAAGATATCAAACCAAAGAGACTAATAGTCAAATCTATCGTTACTAATTGTTACAATATTTATTTAAGGCGAATAATTAAAAGATGGTAATGAAATGTGAAAACAATAAATAATGGCGAATAATAAAATTCCAATAAAATCAAAAGGGATAAATAAATTAAACAAACAGTGTCTGAATGTGGATTTCATTAATTAATAGTACACTTATTTGTTTGCGTAGAATTTCCAAAGGGGCAATATTTTCTATTTTAAAAAGAATCAACTTAATAGGAACTGTTGCTTTCGCGCATTCAGAATTGAGTTTACCCTCTAATCTATACCTTCCATCGTCACACATGGTCGACACTTAAAGTGTTAAAGTAGTAAACCTATTTTTAAGAAGTTAAACTCTTAACTTAATTGAAAAGTGATTTTTTATTGGAAAGCTTAATTTAAAAAGGGTTCTTAAGCTTTCTCTTAAGTACCAGGTCTTAAACATATAAACTCACACATTAGTAAATAGTTTTAAAACCAACTTTCTAGAAACCTTAAACTTCCCTAATTAATTCTTAAAATGCTTTCATGGAATTTATTAACTAACAACTTAACAATTTGAATCATTTGTACCAGACGACTTTCAATCTTGCTCGATGTTTTCACTGATCTACGTTTGTAGAAACAGATTAAATTATGGCTTAGTAAAAAATTTTAAAACCAAAACATTCCCAAAGGTAATTCTACAAGAATGATAAAAGTACGTTTGATTAAAGTTCTCACATTCCAACACCAATAAAATTAACTTGACATAATTATAACATAAGTAAATACGATGAATTTAACAATGTAATAAAGCATGATAAATGGAATTCTAAAAGTGTGGTTTAAATGAAAGTAGAAGAAGAACGATAAATTAATAAAATCGATAAAGCGAAAATAAAGTAATTAAATAAAGAATCTGCTCCGGAGAGACTTTGGTCTGATACAGGGAATAACTCGAAGTAAATGCTGATAATCCTTGAGACTACCAACACACATCAATTTTCCAACTCCTTTGATTTCACCTCTGAATCCATCACCAAATCTTACAGAATCTGTGGGATGAGGCTTGACATCTACTAACATCTTATGAACTCTTGTCATATGTCTAGAGCATCCACTGTCAAAGTATCAGTCTTCATTTGTCCAGTCTCTCAAAAAAG